CTTTTGTTGGATTTGTGGTGCCTGTTCCTCTGCCTTCTGATGGATTTGTAATGCCTGTTCCTCTGCCTTTTGTTGGATTTGTGGTGCCTGTTCCTCTGCCTTCTGATGGATTTGTAATGCCTGTTCCTCTGCCTTCTGTTGGATTTGTGGTGCCTGTTCCTCTGCCTTCTGATGGATTTGTAATGCCTGTTCCTCTGCCTTCTGTTGGATTTGTGGTGCCTGTTTCTCTGCCTTTTGATGGATTTGTGGTGTCTGTTACACTCTAAGAATGTGAGTTTTTTCTTCTTTTAAATCCTGAAGTTGCAGAGCAGTGTATTCACAGAATCCAAAATAAATACATATCAATGTACAATTATTGTATTAGTAGTTTCTTATAACAAAGGCACTGAGTGTGAAGATTGAGGATTTAAAATCTTTGCTAACAAGTTTTAACATGAAGAATAAAATGCAAGTATCAATTAGAGCAGCAGTTTCCAAACCTTTTTTTTTTTCGTGCTGAACCATTCCAAACGTCCCAAATCTACACAGCCCTGTCTGTTCAAAAATGTATTTCAGTGAGCCCATTTTTCTGCCAAACTCCTGACGCTAGCTTTGGGATCCACTGAATTAGAATATATGTCTGGTGTGTAGATCCTGGCAAAACTTTTGCAGTGAAGGTCAAGCCATTTTCTAACCTGATTGTTAAAATATCATAATTCATAGATGTCACATATCTGAAACAGACACTTCTAGAATGAAGAATGATAACAGATGAATGTTTATAAACCTAAATTTGATTTTTGGGGGGTAAATTTGATAATAAAACAAAAAATAAATCACTATGAGCCATGGTTCTATACTTTGCTAATATCCCTGAAAGTTAGCCCTTTGTTGAAAGAAATTTTTCAGTAAATTATATTAGTATTTTTCTTTTCAAAGTACATAGTACCAACTGGAGTATCATAGAAATTTTGTGAATAAAATGTTTATTTCCAGAAAAATAAAAGATTAATTTTATTTACATTCTGACATTGCCATATCTAAAACTTGGACACTTCGAGCATAATTTAGTATCGTCAATGTCAAGAGCACACATTTACATCATGATTCTTAGTTAC